GCAGTTAATGGCGGCGTACAAAGCCATCTTGCGGATTAGTTTATCACAAAGCGGGCGTTTTAACTCTATCTTGGCCATAGCATAGATTCGATTAAGTCCTATTTGTTGTATACCGGGAGTAACAAAAAGGGTATAACAAGCCGAAAGGAGGTCAAGGTTCTTACTTTTTTTACTCCCAGTAGACAAAAACTACTTACACATCAGAGTCGAAACCAACATGAGACAGCAATATGATGATGTCCACGCCCTGCTCCGTCAGGATGGCGGCTTCCCTGTTCACGGCCTCGAGCTCATCCTCCACTATCACGCCGCCGATTGAAAACTGTCAAATTTAGTCAAAAACTACTTACACATCCGAGTCGAATCCAACATGGGACAGCAATATGATGATGTCCACGCCCTGCTCCGTCAGGATGGCGGCTTCCCTGTTCACGGCCTCGAGCTCATCCTCCACTATCACGCCGCCGATTGGCGCTGAAAACTGGGAAATCATCATCATTTTCTTGCCCTTATCCCAAATACTTGAAGTCGGCGCAATATGTTTTGTTTGAACACAAAATCATGTTGCAAAAGGATTTAGCGAAATTTTACAACCCTCTTTTTGAATGCTATCGTGGCTGGTATTACCGCCACCATATACGGTTGACCATGGTTGGCAGAAATTGTAAACAAGATCAAAATCTCTACGTCGTCGCCTATTACGAAACACCCTGAGTAGTATAGGGGTGGTAGAATTCTTAGCCGCTACCACTTGGCACTAAAAACTGTGAAATAACATACATATACCACGCCTTTAACCCTTGTGGGTTAGGCAGAGCGTAAACGGCAGTAATAAACGATAGTGATAGAGTTTTATTAAACTTCTTCCGCATTCATATTTTTGCATAATATTTATGAATAAAGCCCGCCGTTTTGTAGGTACGTACTTATTAGATTTATATCTCTTAATTTGATATGAATTTGACAACTATTACATTCTTAAATACCTCTATGAGTCTTTTATCTAATACATTATCTACTTATCTGATAGTGGCCATTTTATGTGTAGATTAAATTCATTGCAGTTTTTTTTATTATGTAGGCATTCTAAAAAGTGTACCTAACAAAGAAATAAATCATAGTATAAAAAAGTGGCCAAGAGCGTATCAGACACGCTCACAAATAGGGTTTCGTAGTCAGTCTACGTTTAAGTATCTTTCAGCGTTACAAAGTTAATTTTGTTGCTCGTTTGTTTGCAGCTGTATGGTTACCAACCGCAAATTGAAAAACTTTAATATTTTCTTAATCTTAAGTGGTACAGTATCCGTTAAATTTTTAACATGCATAGTTTAGAAGTTACAGCTGGAACAAATTATGGCTCAAAAATGCCCCTTTTAAAAGCAAATATCTCGAGACAGAAACATTTTAGAGAATTTGTTTCAAAGAAACCTCCCCTTAGTTTTTAAAGACCTATTCAACGATACCCTACTCAATATTACAGATGAAAAAAAATCTTTTGCCCCCTTTCACATGTATGGGAACGGGGTCCAAAAAACAATAAAAATATTTTTTTCTCAACATTTCTAAATTTGGGTAATACGATCTATCTTCACACCAAATTTGATGTCGATTGCTCCAAAACTGACGAAGTTATGAGGGCGCGGCAAACAGACAGACAGACAGACAGACAGACTTACCGAAATGATAAGGGTTTCTAGTAAACTACGAAACCCTAAAAAAGTCGCTGTCTGTCGCGGAATGCGCTAACTTCTCTGAAACTGCGCAACGTACTTTGATGCAGTTTTATGTAATATAAATTATAAGTAAAAAACATTTTTAAAACAAGCTTTTATTTGGATGCGCTAAAAAGCATAAAATAATCAATTTACTTAAACTTTAACTTGTTACTTATAATGGCATTAAATCTACGTCTTCATAATTTATACGATATAAAAGCTTGTCGCGAGATGTAAGTAGGTACACGTGTGGTGTTAGGTTAAAAGTTTGTTCAAGATCATTTACACTGGTTACCTAATTTATTTATTAATAATAATAATATATACACAGGTTAAGTCTCGCGACAAGCTTTTATATCGTATAAATTATGAAGACGTAGATTTAATGCCATTATAAGTAACAAGTTAAAGTTTAAGTAAATTGATTATTTTATGCTTTTTAGCGCATCCAAATAAAAGCTTGTTTTAAAAATGTTTTTTACTTATAATTTATTTTTTACTTTTTAGCAATCTCTGGAAAACAAATCTGTTATGCCATAGTTGATTATGTACGTTGTGCGATAGAACCTACCTACTTATTGCATTCATGAACCTAATAGGTATAAATTGACAACATGCTTCATTGACAGTGCCATGAACAGAAGACTAAAAACCCCAACACAATATAACCACTCAAATCTAAACATTTACCTGTAATTTTTCTGTGTTTGTCACCCACTTAGTAAGAAAACATAATAAACTTAATACGCCATCTAACCTTTAGTCCGCCATATCAGGTTTTGTTATGATTATGAGTGACGTAAACGTCACTTTATTTTTCGAGTTATTCTGAAAATATCCTTTCATTTCGTGAATTTTCTAAATTCTCCACCTCAACTGCAATCCGGCTGAGACTTGGGCATAATTGCAATCCCTCATTTTTGGCAAAGATAAGGGTCCGGGACCACTCACTATGTGAATGTGGCCGGGCAGAAGGCACAATCGACCACATTTTTTTTGAGTGTTCTTTATATCCTTCCTCACTCTATGATGCTCTTCCTTCCTCTGTCCCTCGCCCGCTCAATATGAACTATATCCTATCTTCCTTTGACTCCCCTATTATTACTATTCTTCTGAATTATATACAAAGATTTAAAATAAAACTGTAGCCGTCAATATGTTTGTAGTTAGATGTTTGTTTGTAGTTATGTTTAAGTATTTCAATGTATCTATTTATGTATTTTATTGTATTTTATTGTAGATCTGAGAGACCGGTCATTTGGCTGTACTTTTTGACTCCCGTGTATTCTCCAACCTCGACACTGGCAGAATTGTCCTTGCTGACAGAAGCCACAATATCAAAGTTGAATTGAATTCATTTGACATCCATATTGTAAAAAAGCATAAAAATGATATTCTGCCATCTTAAGAAGTCCACCATAGTTAATTTAGAGTGACGTCAACTTATAATTCGAACAGGTAATTCTCAGCAATACCTTTCATCTGACACTAATATTGTAAATTATCTTAAAATGCCATCTTTAGATGTCCGCCATATTATTTTCTGAATTGTTCTCAGCAAGACCTTTCATTTGACACCCATATTGTAGGAGTGCGTCAAAAATTACTTGTCGGCCATCTTGGATATTCCGCCATGATAGATTTAGAATGACGTCATATAACTAGCCATGCATTGTCATCCAAACTAAACGTGTATACAAAATTTCAGCTCAATCGGTTGAAGTTATCTGCTTCTAAATTGAGTTGCAAGATTTGCCCCGAACAAACATTCTTACTTACTTACTTACATACTTACATACACTGCAAGTTAAATAAAAGCTTTTAAAATAGAGTGATTCAAGACGAAGGTTTATATGCATAACACATGCCGGGAAAATGCCTTTTTTCCGCGGGAAAATAATTTGCAGCGGCCAAAATTTGACGAGCAGGTAGTACGAGTACAAAACTAATATGATATTTTTTTACGGATAAAATAAAACACTATAGAACTTAGAAGGGGTTTCAATTTTATACGATTTGTTCAAGTAGGTAGTGCCAAGAAGACAAAGATGCCTACAAATTCGTGTTAGTGTTTAAGTAAAGATGTTTATGTCTACTTACAGATTGCAATAAAACTCCGATGATGCCAATCCTCCTGCCTCTTCTCTCTACTACGATATGATTCCTTATGTATGGTGACAACTCTGGCTCAAATGTGGTGTTGACGTTGGCTCCGAGCATGGGGGAAACGAGCCTCATCAGGTAAGGGAGCAGGCCCTCGGGGCCGTGGTCGAACTCATGGTTGCCTAACACCTGGAAAAAACCACCAGTTACCAGTGAAGATAGATAGAACAAGTGAATAAATAATTATCAGGCCCGACTGCGGATATTTCGAAGTTATAAATTGAATACCAAATTTTAAAACAGTTCTCGTGTTAGGTATAAATTTTTTTGGAAAACTTAGCGGTAGCCCAGTTGGTAGTGGCGTCGGCAGTACAGATGCCGAAGGTCGCAGGATGAAATCCTGCCTGCGGTGGAAAATTTTGCAAGATTTCCAAAAAATTATAAATTGAAAATGAAATATCCCAATACATTTCAAAGTTATTTTTTGATTATGCATAATTTGATAAAATTATTGCTGTACCTAGTTCCATCATAAAACTACTCAATAGAACTACTGCGAATGATAAGACAACCGTGGGAAAAGAGCCGGCATCACACGACATTGCAAAATCGCCATAACATCACGACAAAATAATAAATTGCCCACTTAAAAACGATGATGAGGTACAGTGGTTGTCTTGGCAAAAGCAAGTACTATTATTTATTCTGTGACAAAAGTCTGTTTGTCTGCCCGATACACAAATTCGTAATTATGTTTTAAAATAAAGGTTACATACAATGTACTATCGTTGGCACAACGACCTACCCGTTTAAGAGACCGACTTAAACAGTTTTATCTTTTTTCTCATACAACTACTAAGAAAAACTAGATAGTACCTACTGATGTAGGTTAGTTAAACGAGTGTTATTGCAATCTTATTACCAAGTAATTTTAATAAAAAAATAATTAAATTACTCTACACTTCTACATGTAGGTACAAGGTTTTTCTGCACTTTATCAAACAAAACCAATAAATTCCAAATTTTAATGCACTCAGTGCTATATTATATTGTCATAAATGAAAATAAGAAATTGAAAAGAATTTGACTGAATAAATGTGTAAGTACTCTATATAGATGTTGCCAGATCGTCGCTTCAAGACAAGCATCAAGAGATTGAAAAATTGGCTAAGGTCAGCTGGTGCGTCGATAGCTCAGTGGCAGAGCAATTGGGCGATACCCACTGGGGTAGTACCCGGATTCGATTCCCGGTCGACGCCTAAATTTTTTTTAAATTCTTACTTTGAATTATTAGAAAAACAATAAAATATTGACTTACGTGGGCCGTGTGCGGGATCATGTTCATAAAGGTGTACGCGGGTCTCCATCTCAGCAGGTTGTACCAGATGGTGCCCTGGAAGGTGTCTCCTCCGTTGAGGACCAGGGAGTCTGGTTCCACCTCAAGGGCCTCCTGGATAGCGGTGTACAGGCGGGCAAAGCCCCCGATACAACTTTCTGCGTCAGGATTGCACAAGCCGCCATTCGGGCTTACTTCGTCAAAACTGGATAAAAGTATTGAAGATTGTGATTTAAAAACTCGACCTTCTTCTTTTCGAGTGAGACAACAAGTCGTCCAACCTATAAGTAATCTGTGCGTCTAACGACTCGATGAACCCTGCTGTCAGGGGTTTTCAACCGCCTTCTACAAGTAGCAGGCCTCTGACATGGTTGTGTAACGAACGAACGCTGTCTAAGTAATCAATCATACACAGCAACCGGGACCGACGACTTAACGTGCCCTCCGAAGCATGGAACCATCTTGCTTTTCGGACAATCAGGTGGTTCAGCCTGCAATATCCTAACCAGACTACGAACAAATCCACAAAGTGATAAATAGTTACTTTGAGAATTGTCCCACCGGGAATCGAACCCGGAACCTTCTGCGTCGCAGCAGCCGCACTACCACTGCGCCACATCGGCTGTCAAACCTCGATAATAAGCAAAATACAAAAGTACACATATAATGGTCAGATAGGGTAAGAGCTAGACTAGCAGGACAAAATTTTCTTGGTAAGTAGGTAGGTAGGTACTTTAATTTACATTCTGTAGAAATAGCAAAGTCAGATATTATTACCAATTATCATTGAAATATTAAATAATTTTATCTGTATCTTTAAAGTATCTAAATTTTATTTTTATATTGTAGGTAAAATTTAATATTTACTTACTGTGCATGAAAATCGTTGTAGTGTACGATGTTTAGTTCAAACAAATCACTATCTTGAGCCACTGCAATCCCACAGGCAGCTAAAATAATACAAACTAGCTCTACCCTACCCATTTTGACGGCCGCGCACGAACGGCCCAAGATATGGACTAAAGAATATCGAATTTGCACTGAATTATCGCACCCTACTTTACGCGAGATTCGTGTTTTTTTATGATTATTTTCCGATTGAATTTTTGACTTAAGATCCCTCGAGGTCTCAGATTTTGCATACTAAATGTATGCCCTTATTTTCCTCCTAACAACTCTACACAAAGAGTTAATAAAATGAATGACAATTACGGTCATCTTCATGGTTATTCTCCTATTCATGATTCAATTCGACCGGTACAGCATTTTTAACACTGAGAGATCTTTCGTATTGACAGCTAAATATAAAAATTAAACCAACATTTTGTTGAGTAAAGGGTTTTACTAGTGACTGATAGCGAAAGGCACTAGTTTTGAACTATGTTCATTGGGGAAAGATGTTACTTCATATCACCAGCCCATCCTGCATTTTAGCTATCGCATCCTAGAAAAGATTTACCTGACATATAATACCGGGAGTAACAGAAAGGGTATAACAAGCCGAAAGGAGGTCAAGGTACTCATGAACCTGAACAACTTTTCCTATGGAACATGGGTCGAAATATGAAAAAAAAATTTGGACCTCCCATAGTAAATCAATCAGCTGATCGGCAATTTTGTATGGGAGGTCCAATTTTTTTTCATATTTCCACCCATGTTTCATAGGGAAAGTTGTTCAGTTTCATGAGTACCTTGACCTCCTTTCGGCTTGTTATACCCTTTCTGTTACTCCCTGTATAGTATGCCGGTTGGAATAGTCGAAAAAGTAGGCTCTTATCGCGGACACCTAACAAATGGTTAAAAGTTGACCAACGTGATTAATTAATGAATAGTTCCTTACTTTTATTGGAATGTTATCTTACTTCTTACTAATATTATAAAGGCGGATGTTTGTGTGAGTGTTTGTTACGACATCACGCTAAAACGGCTGATTAGATTGACATTAAATTTTGCACAAATATAGAAGAGTATCTGGAATAACACATAGGCTACTTTTTACCACGGGAAAATGTCTCATTCCTACGGTATCACGCATATTCCAATATTTTTGAAATAGGTGGCGTGACTGAGCCGATTCGCGTTTTAAACGTTTTCGCCGAAAACTAACAGCGACATCTCTTGGCGAGTAATGCTTTCTTCCCGCGGAATAATAGGTTGCAGCGGGTGAAACCGCTGACGGGCAGCTAGTATAATATAATTATAAGGGATACGGGAAACTTGACGTTCTTCTGAAGTTCCGATAGGGTCTTGTACTTACCAGCTTTATCTTATCATCAAATAATTATTGAACAATCGTTTTTCAATAAATCATGATAATCCCATAATTCTATCGTTTCTGCTGATATCCGCAACCTAGGTAAGCAGCTCGCATTATTATGAGGCGTGCCTCCAAATATGATAAGAAAAAAATATTACATATCAAACGTGATTATAATTAAGAATTACAACCAAGTATCATGATGATGATTTTGATTAGGTGTTAAATATGTTTAAACAAAGCAATCGATATTACCTATTGATAAATGTACACATGCGTCGCCATATGTTTAATCTAAACTGGATACACCATAGTATATGCCCCATGAAAAAGGTTGCCGTTTGATATTATGAAATTATCATTAGGCAAATGCCAAAAAAGGAAGGTCTCAAATTATCGCGATTTTTTTATGGTCAATTCGAAAACTACAATCCAACCCACCTTAGCCTCCTTCATCCCTAAATTAAATCACCGCAAAAGATATTCTCTCATTTTCAGGTAACAAACTACAACAGCTCAAAGCTTAGATTAGATACCTACCCCTGACCATATGGTCCTTACCCTGATTAACCCTAGGGTAAGGGTTTCGAATTGGCGTAGGAAACCCGTTAGAGAAATACAAACGCAAAATTAATTAATTTAATAAACATTTATTACAATTAACAACTAAGGTACTTGTTAATAATTAAACTTAATTTTATTTAAAACAACAGGGTGCAATAATATTAAGACAATTTCTAGTAAGTTTAAATGCACAATACGAATTAAAATAACATAGAGAAGGTAAATAGAAAGATATTCATAAATAACCTTAATAAGTACGAATGTGCTCTAAAATATAGTTACAGCAGGTCATTTGAAAATGTTAGATATTTTTTATTTAATGCGGGTTTACTCAGTCGGGGGTTTTGCTCAATTTCTATTACACCTTGTATTTACTTGGTCTTTAGCGTAAAATGTTATTCGCAAATGGTCCAGCGCGTCGAAACGGTCCAGTTTGTAAACACTCCAGCTCGCAAACGGTCCAATTTACAAATGGTCCAGTCTTTATCCTTGTCCTTCGTCATCGTTCCAGGTCATCATCATCCATCATCGTCAAATCGTGGTGATATGTTCATATTCGATTCTAAAGAGTAGACCATTTGCGACTTGGCCCGTTTGCGAACGAGACCATTTGCAAATTAAACATGCGTGCGCCCGACCGTTTAAAAACCGTTAGAATATAAAAAATTGTTAAAATTTTCTTTTGACCGCTCTACTGCTACATAAATGTCATATACAAAATGCAAGTGGTACCAAAGCAAGTCTAAGAATCTAAAATTTCTAAAAGGCACAGACGTAAGACTTTTTTGTTCACAAAAATAAATAAATAACTTCAAATAGTAGTAAAGTAAGGTGGGGGGGGGTGTTAGCACCGGGGCATGACCATCAGACGGGTTTTTTTATTTAAAAAATATTCTTTTTCTATCGTGTGGGACACGAGGCGAACGACCCGATGAACCCTGGTGTCAGTTTTACAACCGCCTACTATTACTAGTAGGGCTCTGACATGGTTGTGTAACGACCGCCGTCTAATTAAAAGAAACGATCAGTACCCTGCTGAAAAGCATATTCATATGATTTCATTTTTGTTAAAATACTTATTTTTATCACTGCCTACTTAAACTTAGGCCGATATTGTGCTGGCATTTGGCTATAAAATATTAAAAGCGATACGTTTTATCAAGGTTAAGCCCGTATAGCAGCCAATAAACTACGTCAATATTACACCCCACTTTACCTTGCTACTTGGGATTTTCAGGAATAGGAAAATAAAGAAACAGTAGTTCTTAATATGTAGGTAAAAATATTCATGGGTATGAGGATTCTTTCTCATAATTAAATCATGTAGGTATAGGACATCATTAGGCAATTTTTTCAATAATATTAAATACATAGATAGAGTATGCTGATAATATAAAATTAATAATTATACAAATATTTTAGTGTATAAATACTAAAAATTAGGGTTAACTTGAATACTGATACAAAATAGTAAATAATTTTGTATCAGTATTCAAGTTAACCGTAATTTTTTGTATCTTTTATGTTTTGTATTTTATTAGTTTTATTATACTAAAATATTACTTAGAACTATGTATTTTAAGCCGACTCACAATAATATTTCGTTATGAATAATAAATCAAAAGATAACAAAGATCAAAATTAGAATTTAGTCAGTTTTATATTCATTCTCAAAGTAGTTGACGTCCACCAATCGCACCTCTTTTTAGAGTTCCGTAATCGGCTAGGAACCCTTATTTAGAATTATATTACGGCTGTACGAATAACAAAATAACGAGACCAAACAGTCAACGAAGGACGAATAAAAATAAATAAATTACATAAAGAATTATCACAATATTGAACTACACCTACTTTATACAGGGTAATTTTTTAGTCAGTGCGCAAACTTTGCAGGGTGTTTCTACTCGTGATTCTGAACAACTTTTATTATGGGACCACTTGCGAATTCGCAAAAAATAATTTGGATGTTCCATAGAAAAATTCATACCTACTCGGCAAAAATGTATGGAACAACCAAAAATTTTTTTTAGATTTCGCAGTTGGCCCCATAGTAAAAGTTGTTTAGAATCACGAGTAGAAACATCCTGGAAAGTTTGCGC